CCTCTCCTTCACTCAGCTCTTACCATTCTAATCTCCTTATATTTCCTGAACACCTAGGTTCCTTCTCACCTTTTGCTTGTTCATCTGCCTAGAATGTTCTTCCCCCAGGTCTTCACATAGTTAGTTCCTTAACGCAAGAGAATTTTCCTCATTGTTGATGTGAAATAGACCCTGCATTGAGTCACACCTTCTGTCCTTTACCAGGATTTGTTTTCTTCACAGTACTTATCAATAACGTCATGAAGTTCTTTATTGACTTGTAAGTTTACTTATCCCCTAACCTGTCCAACTAGATGTGAGCAAGGACTTCATTTTTTTTCATTGCTATATCCCCAGTGCCTAGAAGAGTCCTGGCACATTGTACATATTTATTCAATTAATTATTTTACAGATTTGAATGACTGGAGCAGGGAGCCTACCACAATGTTTTGAGTACAATGAGAGTACATTGAGGGTCTTGTCAGTGGAAATGAAGGGGCAGAGCCTAGCACAAATACAGTCATAGGGAAAACTGTTGGAATTTCACATGGTTCCATGTGTTGAGTCATCAAAGAGGGGAGAGTTAGAGAGTTTTAAGCTTGGATGAGTGGTTAGGGACCTAGGAGAAGTTCCTGGATTTGGTAGGGAAAGGACCAATTCTAGAGGTGTCAATAGCTTGAGTGCTGGTGGGGTGGAAGTTTCTAGCAGCAGTTGGAATGTGAGCTTATCTGGAGTTTCCTGTTCCCTGAGAGGCATTGCTGCAAAGCAAGCAAGGATTATGGACTCAGAGAGACATGAGGGAAAACCATATACTCAATATACTCAGCTCAACTGTAGTATGACTATGGCAAGGCATTGAACCTCTCTGAACCTTAGGTTCTTCATCTACAACATAAAAATAGTTCATAGAACGTGGTGTTGGGGAGGAAATATTTTCATCTATCCTTCAAAGGTTCTTCCAGCTGGTTTAAGGATTAAATTGATGTGAGACTGATTTATAAGAGAAAATCAAATTTAATTTCATACATACAACTTATACTTCTCAACGTATACTTGAGGAGTTCAAAGACAGAAAGGTAAAATGAGATATTTATGCCATGCTGAGCTAAGGCTTGGGGCTTCAAGGGGGAGGAGAGCAATTCACAAGCAATAAGAAGAACAGATGTTTATAATTAGATATTTGCCCTGCCATACAGAGGGGTTACTCAGATAAAATTTATCCCTGGTGATAATTCTAATTCTGGGAAAGACCTCCAATTTCTGTTCTTCTAGTAGTTAAGAGTGAGGCAAAAACTTTCTCTTGAGCCCACAGGGTCTCAATTGCCTTCAGGTCAAAACAGACCACATGCCAAAATGACACATTTTGGGAGATTTGCTCTGACCCCCTTCAGTGGTTCTGAAAATTAAACTATAGAACATGAAAGCATAGAACCAAGTCCTGATGCATGAGTTTCTCAATGACTGTGAAGTTCCCGTCTCCTTCCCCCTTCTTTAAAAAATTTAGTCCAATTCCGCAGTTTAAATTTGTGTTGTGTTTTCTTTGCATGGCAAAACAAGTAAGTGGTTTAAAAAGACAAAAAATACCCCAGACTTAAAATGAAAATGAGTAGTTCCCTGTTCCAATTACAACCCCCAGCTTCCTCTCCCCTAAGGCTGTTACTTTTAACTCTTATTAACTATTTCTTTTAAAACTTAAATCTGTAATTCAACATAACACACTTGTACTACTATTCCTTCAGTTTTCAATTTTGGATATTATTTATATATCAAATTAAGATATCTTCATATTTATACCAGGGAAGACAAGGATTTAATTTCCCTCTATTTTCAGTCCCAAACCTATACATATTACATCTACCATTCCTCCTTTCAGTGTATTATGTCCCCCCACCCCACACTACTTTTATTTATTTATTTATTTATTTATTTATTTATTTATTTATTTATTTAAGCTTATCAGTATTGTGAGCTTATATCTTTGACCCTAGCTGTTGCTAACTGGGCTACATAGTGTACTGTGATTCTATTTACTTTCTTACACAATTCTTATTTTTTTCAGTAGTTAATATTTACATCATTATTGTTTAGGTTTCTTTTTGTTTGTTTTTTAATACCAGTGAGTCTTGATTGTCAAACTTCCCTCAAAATCTGGAACATTTCCTCTAAATAATTTCAAACCCAACATATATTCTGTAAGTTTGACTTTTTTTCCCTTGGATATATCTTTTCAGCTTCCTTTGGCTTCCTGCTTCAATTTGGACTGTCCACTCTAAGCCTCCTGCAAAGCTGAATGCCATCTGGGAATCTTTTTGTGTTCTCTTATTTTGGATCCCTGTTTCCAGATCATATTTTCTTTTTCCTTATGTATCTTATTCCTTCACTTTGCCAAGGCATGTTCATCCTACAGCTTTCTGAGAAAAATGTGGGAAGTGAATTCTTTGAGACTTTGTAGACCTTTATTCTGTTTTCACACTTGACTGACATTTTGGCCTAGTATAGAATTGTAGGTTGGAAATAATTTTCCTTCAGCATTTTGAAGATTTCTTCTAATATTCTAGTTTTCAGTGTTATATTGAAAAATCTCATGCCCTCTGTGTGTGTGTCTCTCATGAATAAATAAATAAAATCTTACAAAAGGGGGGGGGCAGCCCGGGTGGCTCAGCAGTTTAGCACTGTTTTTGGCTCAGGGCATGATCCTGGAGACCCAGGATTGAGTCCCATGCCGGGCTCCCTGAATGGAGCCTGTTTCTCCCTCTGCCTGTGTCTCTTCCCCTCTCTCATGAATAAATAAATAAAATCTTAAAAAAAAAAAAAAAGAAAAGAAAAACCTGATGCTATTATGATCCCCTTGCTTTCCAGGTGACTTTTTTTTCCCACTTAGAAATTTTTAGACTTTTCTCTGTTTCTTCAATATTTTGATATATGTCCATGGCACTCTTTTTTTTTTTTCTTTTCATGAATTGTTCTGGGAGGTTGATGAGCCTTTTAGTCCAAGCACTTACCTTTCAATTCTTGGAAATATTTTTGAATTATTTCTTTGAAATTTCATTTCTTCTAGTCCCTTGTTTTGAAACTCCTATTATTCAGGTATTGGACCTTCTGGCCTGTTGTTCTGATTTCTCTCTCTCTCTCTCTCTCTCTCTCTCTCTCTCCCTCTCTCTCCCTCTCTCTCTCTCTGTTACTTTTCTTTTGCTCAGTCATTTGCATAAGTTCTCTCTGTTGCTTTTTTGTTTTGGTCTCTGTCTTTTCTAGAGGCCTAACTAAAACAACTTGTAATCGTAGGTTGTCTATACTGTTTAACAGTTAAATACCAAGAAGCTAAACTGAAAACCTGAGAGAGTCACACTTGTCATCTAGAAGCCCTTACCATAAGGCAAATTTTTCTTAGGGTCTCTCAGGTAGTTCTTTATTTTTGAGCTGGAAAGGAATTATCCAATATTTTGTTTGGAGGATATCAGCCTGACTTCTTGTATTCTGGGAGCCTGTGGGTAAAGGAGCTAGTTATTTCACTGTTTAGCATTAAGACTTCCACTTCCTATATTCACTGTGGAGCCTCCCTCCTGCCTTGTATTAAATCTGATGCCTCCAAGACTCAAGTCCCTCTGGTTAATCCTCTCTAGAGAGTAAATATCCTGGCATTTCCTGGGTTAGGAAGAAGTAACTTTCTCTCCATGCAGAAATCTGAGGCTTTAGATTAGGAGTTGGCCAACTATTTCTTTAAAGGGCTGGAAAGTAAAGATTTTAGACTTTTTGGGCTATATCATGGTCTCTACTACATATTTATATATATATATAAATATATATATATATATATATATATATATATATATATCCCTTTAAATTGTAAAATAAACACTCTTAGTTGTAGACATTACAAAAACAGGTTGTAAACCAAACAAGTCATAGCTTACTGACACCTGGTGTAGAGGGTCTTTTTGGATACTCTAAACCAACCATCTTCATTTTAGTCCCACCCTGAATCCCTGCCTTCAGAGAACTTGAAGCTTCCAATTTCTGATTCCTTTTGGGTTTCATGACAAAACTGGATGATTTCTTATAGGTGCCCCCGCCCCCTAATTTCAACCCTGTTCCTCCATGAAAGCTTAGGTTTCAGCTTTTTTTCAGCTCACTAGCTGAGCCAACTAATGTCTATTTTCTTTTCATTTTCTAAAAGGTCAATTTTTTCTTGTTTGCGTTTCTCTCTATCCTCATTGGGCCATGCCTTTGGAAGGAGCGGAGATAAATATATGTGTTTAATCTACTAAGTTTAACCAGAAGCTTCCCCAAATCCAATTTGGTTGGCTTTTATTTTTACTACTTTCTTTGATAGTACTTGGGTTAATTTTGCATTTGTTCCCCACGTGCTTACTTGCTATGCCAGATGTTCGAAGAAGATGTCCTTGGGGAGAAAAAATGAGGGGTTTTAAAATGTAGTGTTCTTGAAATGCTCACAGTGGTTCAGTGTGGGATCCTAAAGGGGCCTGATTGTTTCTAACCACCAGACTCTCATAATAGAAATACAGTTTCACCCTTATTTGTGTAAACCATCAGGATCATTTTTAAATGTTTGTAATAAAGTTTGTGGCTTATTGTTTAAAATTGAATTTAAGGTAGTAAATCAAAGCTTTTGGTGGCATGCCCCTGAAAGCAGGGAGAGCCTGGTAAGTGATCCCTAAGAACTGATCAAAGAGACTTGCTGAGCATTTTTTCCTGTATTTGTGTTTTCGTCCTTTAATCTGGTAGTGTTTCCAATTCCATTCTGAGTGTAATGCACACTCCACCCCCCACTCAAGTCTTCTTGGCGGCATCTGGGATTGTCTTTGCCAAATGGCTCCTGTTCAGGCATAAGCCTGCTTTTACCATCAAGCCTATACAAGGTACGAACAACAGTGATTGTCAGAAAATGGGCATCTTTCAAGATCTTATTCATACCACATTTTTGTTCCTGTAATCAAATGAAAATTGAAAATGAAAAAAGTAGAATTCACTGAAAAAAATGACCATTTGCCATTTCTGCCTAGGTTCACCTTTCCTGGCCAGTGAGGATGGCGTGCTTGGAGGAGTGATTGTTCTCCGAACTTGCAGATGTTCTGCAGAGTCTGACTCCTCCCAAGATAAGCAGACACTTCTAGGTAAGCTGGACATATACCTTATGTGTGTGTTTCTCTTTTATTTTTTCAAGACATGGAAATAATTATATTCTTAAGTTAATAATGTAAATCTATGGCAAGGCCAGAAATGCTCTTTTGCTATCTAAACATGCCTGTTCTACTGATCTTTTCACATAGGTAAACATGTAAAAGATGAATATTCATTTTTAAGTGGATAGTTAAAGCATATTTTTCAAATGGGCTTATAGCCTAGGACCTTTTACTAATATTAGAACATTTACTAATATTAGCCCAATATTAAGAACATCAGACTGTGTTCCTTGCCGTATTCCACAAACCATTTGAGTTGACCCATAACAACATTCATGATAACCAACAGAAAGAAGCTTCTTCCTGTTCCCGCTCCCCACATGGAATCAGAACCCTGTGAAGAGGTGCTGGTCAGGAGTCTGTTCTGGTTCCATCGCTCATTAGCTATGACGCCTTTGTGCCTCTGTTGTACTGTTCCATGCCATGTTCTTTTCTATAAAATAAGGGTATCTGTCCTGCCTTCCTCAGAAAGCTGTGGTGAAGAAGGGTCAAGTGAGTGTTTTTCAGATTTGCGGATGTCCATCCAGATGTGTGGTTTTGTGTCTAGCCATGTGTACCACTGGGGTTAAAACCAGCTGGTCCTCCATTTCTCAAGGCATGAACCTGTGCCACTGAGATGCTTTTTTCTCATCCATTCATCCAGAGGGAACATTTTTTAAAAATTTGCATAAGGGTACCACATAAGCTAGGAGGGGAACTTATATGTTATTTTTAATTGACTTTTTAACTAATTATATATACATTCAGAAAAATACACATTATAATAGCAACTGCTTGATAAATCATTATAAACTGAACCCACCAAGCAACCAACACACAGATAAGAGCTAGAACTTTACTACAACCCCCAAACTCTCCCTGGTAACCACCTCCATTCTTTACCTCTCCAAAATGAACCACTATGCTGACTTCTAACACCATGATTAGTTTCGCTTGGATTTGTATTTTATATAAATGGAATCGTAGAATATGTACTATATGTATCTGGTATGTTCAGCCAGTGTGAAGCCTGTTAGATTTAACCATGTTAGATGTGGCAGTCGTTCATTTTCATTGCTGTGTGGTATTCCATTATACAGATACACTGCTGTGTATTTATCCATTCTTCCCTAAGCATTTTTTTAAATATAAGTGTTATAGATCATCCCTAGGAACTGTGATAGTTTAACCCTTTGTATAAATTTTTCTTACAGAAGGTGTGGGTGGTACCTGATGTGTATTGTATGATTCTTGTGAATTGCTGTAGTGCAAGTTGAGTCTGTAAATTAGAAAACCAAGCATTTCTTATGTGTGTGACTTCTGAGGCTAGATCAAAAAAGGTCTTGCCTTCTTACTCTCAGAAAGACCAGCTGCCATGTTGTATGGACACTGAGGCAGCACTATGGAGAGGTCCACATGGCAAAAAACTGTGACCGCCTTCCAATAGGCAGCAAGGTACTAGGGCTTCTTGCCAATAGCCTTAGTTCTGAATGAACTTTCAGATGACTGTAGCCTTACGTAGATTTTTTGGCTGTATCTCATTAGGGAGAGTATAGGTCTATGAGCAAGAATCATCCAACAAAGCTACTCCTGAATTCCTCACCCACAGAAACAGATAGTAAATGTTTGCTGTTTTAAACCACTACCTTTTGGGGTAATTTATGCCAAAGTAATTGGCTAACAAACCTTTTAAATCCTCTCACTGCTGAATGGGCCTCTAGTTTGTCTAAAGAGCTACAATAACAAATCAAGGTGCTCTCTTGCATCTTAAGGCAGCTGAGACTATCAGATTGCATAAGTGGATTCTGGTTTTTTTCTTTGGAATCCTATGAGACAAATGGGATCAGTGCCCTCCTACTTTGCAATCCCTAGTCACTCTTTTCTAGACCATCTTATTAGCTGCCTTACCTCTATTCTTCTCCCACCTCCATACAGTCACCAGACTTTTCTTGCAATAACACATCTGTAGCTAGCCCAGAGAACCTAACTGTGGGCTCAGAAATGGGCAGTCAGGAGAGAAGCAGACTGCACTGAAGCAGAAAGGTAAAAAATGAGAACCTGATCTAATTGTGACCTAGAGAGACCAAGCCCAAGATCAGAGGGATAGTGGTCAAAAGAAGGGCCACATAAGTATATGTAATTCGTTTACTATATGTCTAAGCTAAATGTCAAATAACTTTCTCTGTGTGTTGAAGACAAAATCTAGATCTCTTACTGTCACTCCCTGTTTTCATTTTTTCTCTTGAGGATGCATACATACTCCTGCCTCTGCTGGTCATTTCCCTAGAAGATAGAAGGGAACTACTTAACTCGATGGGAAAGTCCTCCCCAGATCTAACACCAGAACATGCTTTCATTGTCATTTCCAGTTAGTCCTTTTCCTCTGCACAGCCTCAACACCCCCAGTTCTGGCCCCCCAAATTGCTTGGTCTTCATCCAGAGGGTCCTGTCCCCCCGCACCTCCCCCCCCAGTAACTTTCACATGCTTTTACCTGTTTTTGGAATGCCTTGGGCCAATTATATTCCTTCTTTAAAGACCTAGGACAGATATGAATCTTAATGGAATCCTTTGGAAACCCTTTCCCCAGGTGATTTGTTCCTTCCTTGTGCTTTTTTTTTGCAACATGCAATTGGCATCCCTTGTAACACTTGCCATGACACATCCTAGACATGTGTTAAAGTGTCTGTCCTTCCCTCTAGGCCAGCACCTCTTACGCTTTTTTTCTGAGCCCAATTATTTGACTGGAATAGATCACAGATCTTTGAGACCCAGTGACTCACATGACGGATCCAGGGGTTTAAAATATCTTTCCAAATATCAGAATTCCACTGCCGCTGAGAATCACACTACCAGATTGTGAACCATTTGAGGGCAAGTTGTTTTTTTTTTTTTTTTTTTTTTTTTTTTGTTTTTTGTTTTTTTTTTTTTTTTGGTAATGAAAAGTTTGATCAGAAAGGAAATGCCTTTCTTTCTTTTTTTTGTATATTTTTTTATTGGAGTTCGATTTGCCAACATATAGCATAACACCCAGTGCTCATCCTGTCAAGTGCCCCCCTCAGTGCCTGTCACCCAGTCACCCCATTCCCCCACCCCCCCCGCCCACCTCCCTTTCCACCACCCCTTGTTCATTTCCCAGAGTAAGGAGTCTCTGAGGGCAATTACTGTTCTTGTACCAACCTCCATAATAGGCTCCATTAGTTATTAGGTGAGTGAATTAAGTGTCAAATGGAATTTTGTTATTGATTATTTAGCAGAAATTTTAAATTGATACTCTTCCAGAAAAATGAAATGTCACAAAAAGTATCCTTATAAGCTCTGAAAAAACAGAAACAAAATAAAACCACAAATCAGTATGGCTCGGAAATGTTGGTTAATGATGAGTGTCCGGGAACAAGAAGATTTGGAGACAGTTGAAATGAATTGCAGAAGATAGCCTCTGCAAACAGCCTTGTAAAAAGGACAGTTTGGATGTGAATGTGTTTGCAACACCCATCCCTCCACCTCCCACTCCTCAGATCATGAGATGCTGGCAAAGCCCAGCCTACAAATCACTGCTTTAACACAAAGCAAATGCTTCTCCCTGGAGTGAAACAGCTGAAAAGAATTAATTTCTCTCTGCTTTTAGAGGAAAAAAAACCCCAATATATATTTTACCTGCTAAAGTACAATTACATACGCTTTCCAGGCCTGTACAGAAGTGCTTTATTGAGGCTGCTGTCTATAATACATAATACGGTTAATAATTGTGTAAACAAAGGCACATCAAACCTCCCAGTGGGAAAAAATAAATCTTTTTCTGTTTTAAACTTGCAATTGGAAACAAGTAATTAGAATATATGCAAAAGTATGGCCTAAGCAGCCAATCTTACTATATATGGGTGCATTTCTCTCCTTACAACTTGCCCTTGCAGTGCTGTTGGGAGCCTGACAGACCTTGTGAATGAAGTTCAGGGTCCCTGCCTTAGGATGGTTACTGAGAAGCAGTGAGTATGGGGATCAATGAGAAACAGACTTCATAAATTTAAGGAAAATCTTAAGCAATTCAGAATAGGAAGCATAAGGGCTCTTAGGGGCAAAAAAGCTGTGTTTGGCCAGTGGCCTCTGTGCCACTGTTGGGGGTCCTTCATCCTAAAAAGATTTGAGGTGCATAGTCCAGCCAGAGCCTGATCATCTGATGAACACATCTGGTAATTGTTACTCCTCCATTAAGTTACCCTCACCTTACTCAGAGAATAACTCTAGGTTCCTTACTATCCAGGAATATGTTCATTATGCTGATAATTAAGTGTTGTACGAGATCTTGCTTTTAATTGTCCAGCTACCTCTTTTTTCCCTGTTTTTCATCTTAACTATGAAATGTTTCATATATTTTTAAAAGAATGTAATAAATTTGTAAGTTATAAAGAATAATAATAAAATGAACACCTGTGGACCTGCCACCCAGCTTAAGAAATTGCCCATTATCCATATCTTTGAAGCCCCCATGTGGGCCTGACTTTATGTAAATAGTATGTTATATGATTTATTCTGTGAGAATTTTTGCAGTTTCTTACATAATTACTTGAAAGAATAATGAATCCTTCTATCATTTTAGACTTACATCTATCAAACTAAACTATTTTTCACTTGCCAGTTAGAATTAAAGGTGGCATTCCCTCCCACCTTTTATAGAACAGGCAAAGTTCTTTATCAAGTGCTCTTCTTGTCACGGTTACCAAAACATGCTATAGTTAAAAAAAATGTTAGATTGAGTTGATGTTTTCTGGAACATTAAAAAGATAAAAGGTCATTTTACTGTAAGTTAAAATTCCAAACCGCCTTTTGGTTTTACTGACATTAAAAATTTGGCAAGCACACATAAACACATGCACTTCAAAGGAGCTTCATTCTGGGGGCCCCAGCAGTATCACTGATTTCCATTTCATGGCACATGCCACTATGAGCACTTATG